ACAACAATGTTTTTCTCTAGAGACTAGACCCTTCTGATAATATGAGCACAGTACATGAGGCAAAATCTCATCATCATCACTTCTAAAAACCAAATGTTCAAATTCAAACTCACTGCCATCTAGTTGATTCTAACTCTATGTGGCCTTAATTGGGTTTCCGGGACTACAGGCAACAATAATAAATTTCAGGAAGTACCAGATGAACAAAAGCCAATAATAACAAATGAAGAATTTCAAGCTGTGTTGAAGACACTGGCAAAAACTAAGACCCCATGCATAGATCTGATATTGATTGGCATTTTTCAACTAACAGATGCAACCTTGGATGTAACCACCAGTCTAGGCCAGGAAATTCAGAAGACAGCTACCTGGCCAAATGACTGAAAGAGATCTATATTTGTTATGTGGGAAGCCAAATTTCATACAAAATATTTTTAATAAGCAAACTGCTACTTCAGGTATGAGGGAGGCTGACATTTTAAGTGCTGTTCTTAGACGACTCATAGTGACCCTATGAATGAAAGACCTGAGCACTGTTCAATAGAGTTTCCGGAGGCAAGCCATTTTTGAAGTGGATGCCACTTCTGATTCCAAGTTTGTTTTAATCAGGAAGTTCCACCAAACACTGTCCACCATGGGTAAACCATTATCATGTTTGGCACATCAGTGTCACAGTGTTTAGTATCACAGCAACCATGAGTTACCTCTGTACAGCAATGCACACACCAGTGCTATACCACATAGAAGAATGTTTGACAAAAAAACAGCCTGAGTGCTGCAGATTAAAATCACCCACCTAGGGCTTGGAAGCATAACTTTCTGTCCTGTAGGCCAATGCAGCTCTCTCTATGTTGTTGTTCTTGTTGTTGTTGTTTAGTGCCCTGGAGTCATAGATGACTCATAGTGGAGTAAAGAATGAAAGACCTGAGCATTGTTCATAGAGTTTCCGGAGGCAAGACAATTTGGAAGTGGATGCTACTCCTGCTTCCAAGCTTGTTTTAATTGGGAAGCTCTGAGGTGGAATTCACCCTGAAGCACTAAGGCAATCCTTAAGTGTTTACAGGATTCTTTCATTGTATTTGCTGACCCCCTCCCTCCTGAGTCAAGCAGAAGGTTTGCAATAGAAAGAGCTTAGATTTATTTGCACTGAATTCTCTTGGTGATTTGCTCCCTGGCAATTTTCAATAAAGACAAAGGGAAGCTAAGGTCAGTGTTTCAGTAGACTCAAACTGCTGCCCCCCCCAGTCTTTCACATCTCTGTTTATTATATATTATTGGTGTTTATACATTGGTTTATTTATACATTCTTGGTCTCATTATTGATTATTAATATACTTTACCCTAGTCTGCAACATTATTATATTTATAAAAAAGGAGATCTAACAGAATGTAGAAATTATCAAACAATATCAGTAATAATCACATTCAAGAAAAATACTAAATATGATCCAAAAATGACTGGAACGGTAAATCAACAGGGAACTACCAGAAGTTCAAGCTGGGTTTAAAAGAGGCTGTGGCACTGCCAATGTCAGATATATCCTGGTTGTACACAGAGACTATAAGAAGAATGTCTGTATGTGATTTATTAACTATACAAAGGCATTTGAATGTGCAGATCACAACAAACTATGACTAATAGAATCCCAGAACACTTACTTATGCTTATGTGAAGACCAAAGACTACAGCCTTCAGTATGGATTACAATTCAGCATCAAGAAACCAAAAATCACTAGACCAATAGGCAACATTGTGATAACTGGAGAAAAGATTGGTATTGTCAACAGTTTCATCTTACTTTTATTCTCAATCAACTCCCTTGGTATTAGAAGTCAAGAAATCAAAACACTGCAGTCAAGGACCTTTCCAAATTGCTAATGTGCAAGAATGTTAGTTTATGGATTAAAATATGACTGCTCCAAGGCATGGTGTTTTCAATGACATCCTTCATATGAAAGTTGGACAGTGAATAAGAATCACAGAAGAAGGATTGATTGATGCCTTTGAGATGTGGTACTGGAGAAGATTACTGAACCTGCATGGACTGCTAAAAGAACAAACAAGTCTGTCTCAGAGGAAGTGCATCCAGTGTTCCTTATAGGCAAGGATGGTACAAATTTATATCACTTTCTTTGGACATGTTTTCAGGAAGAACCAATGCCTGTAAAAGAACATCATGCTAGAAAAGGTAGAGCATCAGAGAAAAAGAGGAAATATCTCGATAATATAGACTGACAAATTTACTGTAACAACGAACTCCAGTTAGAAATCATGCAGATGGCATATATCTGTGGCTCATAAGTTTGGTTTTGGGTTTTTTTTTTTAATTACTAATTTCTATTTTATTCCTTAATTTTGGGGACTTATTCTTTAAGCAAAGCATTCTTTTAGAAAAAGGTGAATAAATATCCTAGATTGGCACTAGAAATCCTGATGTTCTTCCCATTTTATTTTACAAACAATTACATATTGACCACACACACACACAAAAATTGAATTATCTTGTCAACAGAATCAGAATTCCTAGGTCAGATTTTATCTGGAAAACATTCATAGGATCTTTACAAACAGTAGTCAATTAAATTAAAAATAACAACAATAGCAATAGATTATATATAAATGAAACACATCTGTGGAAAGAGACAATGGAGCATGTCATCAGTCTGGAAAATACCAAATACCAACTCTTGAACTGATCATGAATTTTCATATCCAGGTTCACCAGTGTAAAAGTAAAAAATTGAGTATTTCACATGTAAATTTAGAGACTATGATGTTTATCTAAATGTTAACTTTTTAAAAATCATTAGCCCCTCTGGTCTCCAGCTGCCTTAACTTCAGACACATCGTCTTGCAAATCAGCATGAGCTGTGGATAGAATAGGATAAAAAAGGGTGCTTGCCACTCTGAGCATCAAGATTTGAGGTGAACAAGAATTGGGACAAACAAGATGTGTGGCAGCAAGACTCTGAGAAGAGCAAGACCCTGGTAGTGGAAAGACTGTGACACGGAAACTTCTTTCATTTGTGCTGGCTATAGTTAAAGATTTGGCTGTTACTGCAGGATGTTTGAAAGAGAAGCTGGCTTATAACTGTTCTGGGGCAAATCTGGCTGGATGATTTGGATGTGACCGAAGAACTAAAGCCAGAACCTGTGCTTATTGAGGAATTTTGCCTTGAGCCTATTGAGCTAACGCCTGGACTTGTATTGTGAAATATTCTTTGCCTCCAAAATAGCTTCTGTAATTAACCCTATTCTCATTATCACAAATGTGAGTTTGTGAGTCAGCAACCAGTAAATGAGCATCATGCTGTTGATGTGGCTCTATAGGCATCATGGGGATGGATTATGGGCTCTCTATTGTCTTTCTACTCTGAGGCAGTGAGGGACTGTGATATTCTTACTCCCTCTGGTGCTTTCAGAGGCCCTATGACTTCATGCTCTATTTTCTCATCTTTAGAGACTAACTCAAGAATAGATTTGATGCTGAACACTACTGATCAAAGATAGATGACTTATAGAACAGAACGAAAGGTTATAAAAACAGAGAAGAGAGGAAATGAATGTCAAAAGAGACTTTGAACCTATGGTGTGAAAATACAGCAGGTAATACAAATGTCACTAAAGAAAGTAAAAGAGAGGGACAGAATATTCCTAAAGGATCCTTGAGAAGAGAGACAAAGTAAAGCATTATATTAAAAGATAAAAGACTTAGAATATAAAAACCAACAAATTTATGAAACCTAAGAAATTCATTACAATGACCACACAGACCTCACAGACCCAATATCCACAATCATAGGGTTTATTAGGAAATTTAAAAGGGCTGTTATCCAGGTTGGCACAAGATACAATCCCCCAGTCTAGACAACTTCTCAAGCATGATTGCAGGCCTTTTGACTTTCAGTCTCACAGATTGTTATTCTTAGGTAGTTCTTTCATTCCTGCTAGTTATAGCATCTTTCCTCCATTTTCCAGCAAGCTGGGTTGAAGGCCTCTGGTTCTGGCTCCAAGAGAGAGAAGTTCCAAGCCAGCTCTGTCTCATACTGGTCTCTGATTCTCTGTGGAGGCTAAGTTGCTTTTATGTAGAGCCCAGTATAGCTGATGCAGAAATCTCTGACCCCAAAGGGATGCACTGAACTCCTTTTTTCCTGTTTCCTGTTAGTGTTGAAATTCTCAAATTTCCACAGCTTCAGCTAAATTTAAACCCAATAGAATGTTTGAGACTAGTTAATCTCTTGTGGATAGATGTTAGGGACAGCTGGAAAGTAAAAATAGAAAAGCAATTTTGAACAGCTATCTCTTGACATGACACCAAGCATGACGTTTGTCTCCAGGGACATGGATTTATTGTTGTTATGTGCTGTCAAGTTGACGATGATTCACAGCAGCCCTTTAAACAATAACTCTCACTCTGCCCTATCTTCAGCCTATCTCACTGTCTCTGGCACACCTGTCTTCATTTGCACAGTCACTGTGTCAATCAATCTCATTGAGGGTCTTCCTTTCCTGGGATGACCCTGTACCCTTTCATGCATGTCCTTCTCCAAGTACTGGTACTTCCTGGCAACATGTCCTAAGTTGCTCCAAGGAGCAACCTGGTTTCACCATCTCCAGGACAGACATGTTTGTTCTCTTGGCAATTCATGACAAGATCAATACTCTTCTCCATCACCCTAATTCAAAGGCATCAGTTCTTTTCTTTCACCCTTATTCACTGTACAGCTCTCAGATGCATAGCAAGCAATTGAGAAGACCACTGCCTGGAACAAGCACATCTTAATCTCTAGACTGACGTTGTTGTTCTTCAGCATTCTGTAAAATTTCCTGATTAGAAGACATTTCTTCAGCAACTCATCATTTGATATCTGGTGCCAAGCGTGTTGATTGTGGATCCGAGCAAAATGAAATTTTAACAAATTAAATCTCTTCTCGATCTATCATGATTAGAACACATACAAAGTACACAGATAAAGTTTGGCATCCTCATTTCTAAAGAACATCCTGACTGTATCTGACATTTTCAGCACCTAAAACAGAAATAAAAGCATTCTTATATAAATAAAACTCTTTACCCAGTACAATTTACTGTTTTTATTGTTCTAGCCAATAGTATTTAACCAAATGAAGTGTGTCTTTGAAACTTCCTTATTCCAACATGTTAAGTTTATGTAAGGATCACATAAGAACTAAAATTTCACATTTATAACAGCAAAACGAGTACATACTTAGCCTCCCTCTCCACCTACTTTGATCTTCTCATACATAGAGTATATATTTCCTTCTTAAACACAGTTTACCATAGAGCACAGACTTTGACACTTCTCAGCTGCAGAGATGAGTAATCAAACAGTAACCTACACAGAACTGAATCTGACAAAGAGCCCAAAAAGGCAGAAAATAAAAATTAAGGATGCTCATAATTCCATTTCAACAACTGAGCAGGAAATAACTTACGCAGAATTAAACCATAATGTATCTCAGAATTTTCAGGACAACAACAGGAATCTCTACTGCAAAGGTAAAGCATTTAATTAGTTATCAATATAACTGCATTTAAAAAGTATTACTTCAATGTTCAGGTATGAGGCAAGAGAGTTAAACTAAGACTTGGAGCTAGGAGAGCCAGGTTAAGAAAATATTCACATTAGTTTTCATTTTTGAAGATAAAACCTTTAATCCAATTGTTAACGGTTATGAAATTTAAAGGTTCAGTCAATTCAGGTTTTGTTGATATTTGTGCTTTTTGATGAAGAATTTATGGGCAATTATTTTACTGATAACGTGATTATACTCTCTGAGTGGAAAATTATAATAGGAAGTAGAGATTCAATTTATTTTAATTTGTATATAATTTTATATGTAATTTTGTACCTTTGTGTTCTCTTGTATATAAATATTCTAAATTTTAAATACGCACGTGCTTTCTCAGTGTTTTCACTTCTCTTTTTACATATATCCCATCATCTCCAGAGAAGCTTATTGCTGGAGTCCTAGGAATCATCTGCATTGTTTTGATGGCCAGTATAATAACGAGGACCGTTATATTTATTATTCCTTGTAAGTTTTTGAAGGATTTTTAGGGCATGTTTCCTTTAGAAATTTGGAAAAACCCCTATGCATTTCATAACGTTAAGGTATTGAGTTCTTATGTTAATTCACACATTTCTTACACATAGTTTTCAAGGTATTTTAAATTTGGAAAAAAAAATAGATATTATTTGTCAATGTGGACTAAACACAGAAAAGTTTTATGAATGCTTCAAAAATATAAAAAGCAGAATTTTATTTTTTCTTGTTTTAAATTCTCAATGTGTTTATTTATTGTGTATACATATTTTTATATTTGTTACTTCTTGAATATTTGCACTGAGGGACCAAAATAGAAGAATAATACATTTTGATTTATAAATATAAAGCAAGTATTATAAGAATTGGTAAAGTGTGTCCATTGGACTGTTAAAATTCTTTCCTCAATTTTTCCCTTGTTAATTTTTATTGATAAAATAATTTCAACATGCAATTTTTAATATTCAACGACAAATAAAATGCAAAACTAAAAAATGGAAACTATTAGCACTTATTCCAAAATTATTCATGTCACTAGTAATTATTTTAATTTTTCTAGCTAAAGAAATACCAGAACAGAATTTATCAGGAACAACAGGAGTCCCAAAAGGTATGCAATAGCTTTTAAATTTCTGATACAACAAGATCATCTTGTGTCTCTATTTTAGGCTGTAAAGGAAGGACTAGTAATACTAAATTTTTGAGAGGCTTTCTAAAATACAATAATAAATTTCATAAGTCAACATTGTATTATGACAACCTTTGTATTAAAAAATTGGAAAAAAAATTCCTTTAAAATCATAATTTTACAATTGACTTAAACTTCTACTCTATTGTACTTGCTGTACATGTATTGTATACATGTACTTGCTGTGAGTTCAACATTTACTGGACATCACCTAGAGATAATAGTACAATATTTTTTTAAATGGCTTTAATGTTATAATAAATTGATGTTTACTGATTTCTAGAAGAAATTTTTCTTAAAGTTTGGTTGCTTAATTTTTAATATTTCATGTTATATACTTTTATTTATGAGATTTCATATGTCTTTATCTAATGTACTAATGTGTATATGTCAGGTAGTTCTTCTATTGCAATGCAAACTGTTTCTTGATATTTATTTCATAATATTTTTACAGCTTATCGTTGTGGTCATTGTCCAGATGATTGGTTTTCCTATGCCAACAAGTGCTATTATATTAGTATTGAACGAAAACCCTGGAATGTGAGTCGGATGTCATGTGCTTCTAAAAATTCAAGTCTATTTCATATAGATAATGAGGAAGAAAAGGTAAGATTTCAATTACATGATTTTTTTAAAAGACCTCTCATTCCAAAAGAAATGCATAGAAAATGCACTTATTACAGTAACAACAAATATAACAAGAAACCAGTTTTATGCTATTTGTTTCTTATTATCATTAAAGAATAAAAATTTGTCTATTTTGGAGACACAAAGGGCATTCTGGTGGCCTAGTGGGTAGGATGTTGCACTGCTAAACCAAAGGTGACACCTCAAATCCTGCATTGGTTCTCTGGGTGAAGGTGGGGAATCTCTCTCCTGTTATTTATAAACTCCCCAAAATGCAGTCAACTCCAGTAGTTCGATTAGTCACCTTTCCCCAGCCCTTCTACTCACCTTTCCTGCTTCCCCACTCAAAGCACTTGAACAGGTTAGAAGAGATGAGACAAATACACAGCTCACGGCCTGTTATTCAAACCCCACAGCCCTGATCATTTTAAGTAAATGTTCTCAAAATTTATACCAAAAATATTCCTCTATTTTCGGATAATGGAATATGAAAAAAAATTAACTAAAAAGTAATGATTTGCCTTTCCTATGTAAGAGAGTTTTCAGATTTATTCTCTGAGAAAACACTATGCATATAAATGTGCAGCTGAAATTCTCAATTACCAATATTACTTACTGTATTAAAATATGTTTGTAATAGGAAGACATGCAGAATTTCAGAATGAATCATATAAACCTCTTGAAAAACTACAAGAAGGCCTTAGAAACTTAGATACCTGCCATGTCATAGTATTTAAAACCCTATAGTCAGCAGTCCTATGGTACTTTTCTACAGCATTTGGTAGTCATTTTTCCTTCTCTTTGTCTGAGTTTTCTTTGAAACTTTGATTTTAAGGCAGTCAAAGTAACAGGCCAAGGTAGAAAGGGATAACCCAGAATTTAATATTCCCTTAGAACTGAAGTCTCAGTTCTTTTTATATACAGTTCAGTTTCCAGTTTTTAGATAACCTTAAGCAAATATCTGAGAAGCGGGTTGGCAGAATTAGAAAGCATTTAGAAAACAGAAATACAAAATTACTACTCAATTTGATATTGTGAAGGACACTATTACTGTTACTTATATAAGTCTGGTGAGGTAATATTCGTTGAAGCCTCCTATAAAGGATTCCTTGTGGGACATTACTTGTCAAACTGCCATTTCTACTCCTGGTCAGGTCACGTTTATTTTTACTTCTAAGTATGACTTTTAGAAGCAGGAGTGACATCTACTTCCTAAACAATATGCCTCTGGAAACTCTATGAACTCTGAGAAATCACGATAGTTAAAGAAAGGTTTCAGATATTTTGTTCACAGGGTTACTATGAGTCGTGCCCAACTAGATGGCAAACAACAACAAGAAGAATGATTAGAGTTTTGGCCCCTTGAATATATGAGGACCGTTGTTCAGGGACTTTGAAGATAAGTCATAGATGGATATTCCATTGAATCATGCGTATGTTGTTTGAGAAGGAAAGGAAAAAAGGTTTGAGTGATATTTTATTTGCCTGTAACACTGGGAAGTTGATAAAACTGTCCAAGAACAAATGCTTATGAATCTATTTACCAGTGTGTAGAGTAACTAAAACACTATATACTACTGGTAGGTGGTCTGCCCACGAAATGCCCCTCAAAGAAATCTAAAAACACGTCCAAAATTTCAAGAGTGTTTATTATATTATTTCCACACATGGAGTCTTTTTCCCTCCTCAGGAAGGTGGTGAAGGAAAAAAGCCCCCAGTTTCCCCTCCCACACTTACTTTTATAAAAAATGGGGTTTCTGCTGTCCATTCAATAGGAATATAAAATGGTACAATCACTTTTTGAAAACAACTGGCAGTTTCTAATAAAATCAAGTACTTACCAAAATCCCCCCTAAAACCAAAAAACAAATAAACAAAAAACTTCCTAGAGAATAAAGCTTTGAGTCAGTTCTTACTCCATGACAGTGAAAAAGACCAAATGTATAAATAGAATTATCTTAATTATTTGAGTGATATTATGCTTTTAAGATTCACCTTTTTAAAAAAATTACTTTATTTTAGTTACCCTTGTTTAAACTTCAATTCATGGCATTCTTACATGTAAAATACCAAAATAAAACCAAAATGCTCTAACCTTTGTCATCTTTATGATCACTAGTTTGATGTCATTGTGGTCAATTTAATCCCACATTGAATTCTTTTGTTTCACTGATCCTATATTTTCCAAGGAAGATAGGCTTCTATGTTTCTTGGTATTTGTTACCAACACATCTGAATTAAACAAGTCGACAACTTACCATCCTCACTCTCTTTTTTTTTTTTTTTAATTTCCATCCTCACTTCGAATAAGATTCTGAGTGTGTTTCTTCCACAAGTATTTTTTCAAAGTTTGCTTTATTCATTCTCAAGGCTCCATACGACCTCACTTTATTTTAACATAGATCTGTTTATATAACATTAATTGGGTGGACTACATAGTCAACACTCTTGGTGCCACATCCAGAAAATTAAAAGATGAACTGCACTGGAGAAAGTCTGTTGTCAGGGAACTCTCCAGAGTACTGAAAAGCAATCATGTCAGTTTGGAGACTAAGGTGGACTTGATCCAGACTATAGTCTTTACAATTATTTGCTATGTATCAGAAAGCTGGAATTCCTAGCTGGGGTCTTCCTTTCCTGTGCTTCCCTCCACCCTTCTGAGCATGAAGTCCTTCTCCAAGGACTGGTCCCTCCTGTCCTAAAATGAATAGGTCCAGGAAATTATAAATCAGATGTTGTAATAGAAAATACTAGCACCATTTCTACCCTCATCAGTTTTGACCCCACTTCTGATCTTATTGTATTAAATAAATATCCTGAATTTACATAAGAGAGATTTATCCGTTTGTTCTTTGGGCAGTCTGTGGGATATCCATGCTTTTCTACAACACAACTCAAAAGTACTACAGTCTTGTATGTGAATTATATCTCAATATCAAAAACACAAAGGTCCTAATCACTGGGCCAATAGGCAACATCATGATATATGAAGATAGGATGGAAGTTATTAATTAATTAATCTTGCTTGGTTAACAATCAACAATCTTGGTACCTGCAGTCAGAAGATTAGGAGACAGTTTTGCTCCAGGCAAGTCTGCTGTCAGGAATTTCTCAAAATACTGAATAGCAATGATGACAGTTTGAAGAATAAGGTTCACCTGATTCAGACCATGATCTTTTTAATTATTTGCTATGCATATGAAAGCTGGACTTTGGCTTGCTGATGTTATTATGTGCCTTCAAGTAGGCTGCAATTTATAGCGACCCTAGGTACAACAGCTCTGCACCCTGCTCTATCCTGAGCCAACCTTATTGTCTCTGACACACCTACCCCATAATCCTAGTCTCACAGAATTAATTCATCTCATCAAAGGTCTTCCCCTCCTACACTGTCCTTTCAACCACATAAGCGTAATATTCTTCGCCAATGACTGGTCGTTCCTTGCAACATGCCCAAAATATGCCAAATAGAGTTTCAGAATCCTTACCTCCAAGGAACAGCCTGGTTTAACCCCTTCCAGGATGAACCTGTTTGTTCTCTTGGCAATCAATCATATACTCAATACTCTTCTCCAACACCACAGCTCAAAGGCATCAATTCTCCTATCATCCCTAGTCATTTCCCAGCTTTCTGATGCATAGCACATAATTGTGAAGATCAGAGCCTAGATCAGGACTTTGGGTTAGCAGCACAATATTGCTCTCTAGCTCAGTAATTGAAACCTGAGGCTTTCTTCTCCGATAAGGATTTGTGGCTCTGAGAAACTTATGGAGCAATTGTACTCCATCCCAGAAAATTCTTATTTATTGGAATTAATAATTACAACCAAACTTTCTTTACTTTTATTTTTTATATTGTATTTTATTCTTTTTTGTGTAAAGATTTATAAACATTTTTTTATTCAATAATTTCTTCTTTTTAAGGTTAATTTATAGTATTTGTTTTCAAGTGGATATTCTAATTGTTTTTATTTCATATCATCTGTTTTTGCAAGAAGATTCACTTTTGAAAATTGATCACTTGGCCTGAATTCAAGCCTTCAATTCTTTGGTTAGAGGATAAATCTATTTACTATTTGCACTAACCAAAGATTACTATATCTAAGTCCTTATGTGATAGTTTTATTTGTTATTTAAACAGACTGTTCCAACATTACAAATTTACACAGAAGTCTTATGTGTCTAGTTTTAAGGTATTTTCATTCATTATGATAGGTACTCACCTTCAATTTTGGTTGTTTCTTCACTTTAAAATCTTATTGAGTTGATATTTATATATACAAAACATTGTTCAAATCATTAAATATTATTGTGAAAACTCACGGGGAAAAATTTTATTTTATATATCAATATTTCTGTTTTTTACATTATTTTTTTCACCCTGATGCTCAGCCTTACTTCTTCACACCTTTTCTTTTGAAGAATTTTCTTAAAATTAATAAGAAAACTTTTTAGTAATAATTTCTTTTAGTTATTATACTTCTTCTCTTCTCTGTATCGTTCCAATTTTAGTATATGTGCTGCCGAAGCACATATATAATATATGTGCCAAAGCACATATATTATACATCTGAGAAAACCTTTTTCCTCCATAATAAATCTATGAATGTACTGTATTGAATTAATTCAATCTTTCTCTCACTGCTGATACATATGTTAATCTACGTGTTGTTCTTCACTACCTTTTTATATTAAACCTTCTATATTAATAAAAAAAAATTTGGAGGGGTGGACATTGGACAAAAATTATTTTTTTTCCCAAATAGAAAAAAGAACTAGGGAGTAGGAAAGGAAATGTGCAATAATGAATTAATGGAAATCCAAGTTCTAGATAAACTGTTATTAAACTCTCAATTAAAATAAAAGATTTAAAAAAATAAATTAAAATATTGTGAAATGTAAAAGAATATTAAATATACCATGTACAGCCAGGAAAACAAACAGGTGTTTCTTGAAGAGGGTGAGACCAAATTTCTCCTTGGAGGTGAGGATTTTGAAATTTCGTCTCACATACTTTGGGAAGGTGGCTGAAGAGGATAGTCCTTGGAGAAGGGTATTATGCTTGGAAGGGTGCAGGGACAAAGCAAGATAGCAATACCCTGGATAAGACAGACTGACACAGTAACTGAGGTAGTGGGGGTAGCTAAGGATAGTGCAGGGTTCAGAGCTCTAGTTCATAGGGTCATTATGAGTTCCAAGCGACTTAATGACACCTGACAGCAAGAATCCCTTGGTCTATGTGCCTGACATTGTACCAGAACCATGCTGTTTTGATTACCTTACTCCTTCTGTGTCGCATTTTTTTAGGTCAGGGAGTGTTATGCTTCCCACTTCATTTTTGTTTCTTAGAAATGTTTTGTTTATTTGGGGTCTCTTTTCTCTCCAAATAAATTTGACAATTTCCCTTTTTATCTCTGAAAAATGAATCAGATATTTGGGTTGGATGTTGAACATATAGGTTGTTTTTGGTAGGATTGTCATTTTCACAACATTGAGTCTTCTTTATGAACAGGTCACATGAAGAAAAAAAATAATAATTTGAGGTTTGCAAAACCGAAATTTTTACCTCCATTGAGTTTATATCCTCAGTGGCAAACCTTTAATATCCTCTACAAAACCAAACTGAAAAATACGGTAGATAAATACACTTTATTGAAGAGGTGTGTCTGGAGTTCTATTTAAATATTTAATAATTTTTTCAAAGTCTTAAAT